TTGCTTAGGCCTTTATCGAAACTCTTTCTTATGCCTAATTTTTAAAACTTTAAACATTATTATCTTTGAAACGGTTAGGTTTATGAAAAAAAATCCCAAGAATAAAATCGTCTTAAAATTACATTTTCTACCGGAATACATAATAAAATACAGGGTGTTCCGTAAGAAAAATCTAAGTTGGCGGCCATATTGGAAAAATGGCGGCTAAAATAATTTTTTTGACTTGACTAAAATTTTTAAAATAAAAAATCCAAGGCACTTACCATTTAACTTTTTTTGATATCTCTTACAGTTTTAGAATAAAACGGCTGGCACACTTATATCAATCATCCTGTATATGTCAAACATATCGAAGTTTAAAACACAGTTCAAAGAACATCTACAATGCATTGAAAATATAAAAAAATCTAACATCAATGAAGTCAAACATCGCCGACCATATAATGAACTCGGACCACAGTTATAAAAACATGAAAGAAACTCTAACAATTTTAGAATACAAAAAAGAACGTGAGAAACTGAATGTAAAATAAGAGCTAAATGTGTATCTACATAATATAAATGACCCCACAAACATACCTAATACAGTGATTCCAAAACTAAACCAACCGTTGCAACAAAATAGAAAAACTCAGGAAAGAAGGAAAACATTAAATATAATATAATGAAGGAAATAGTTATTTGTGCAACTAGTGAGAAAAGTGAGCAATTGACTCACTCGAGAGAAATCCTTACTCACGAGCTGTAGGCGAGTGAGGAATGGTTTCTCGAGTGAGGCAATTGTACTTTGAACTCGAGTTGCACATTATACTTTTCCTACAGTTACCATAAAACAAATAAATTTGTGAAGTAACATAACCTATTTTTACACAGAAGTGAACTTTTAATATAACATTTAATGTGAAGTGACAAATACAACAGTAAAACAGCTGACCAGCTGATTTACAGCCAGTGCTGCCAACGTATTTCGCGCGCATACGACGTTGCCTGCATGTTACGCGCTCACTATTTCGTGCCTTCACGTTGCAAATCTGGAGTGAGACAAAGTAATTAGAGTGAGACAATGTTAACATTGTCTCACTGATGAGCGAATTGGGCTCTTTGCTTTCTCAAATCAGTGAGAGAACATGTACATTGTTAGGTAACTGTAGGAAAAAATTATAACTTAGATATAATTAACATATTTTCTATTTCAATTATTTTTACTTATTCATTTTGATTATAATTCAGTTTGAAACTATGCAAAGTTGAAATTTGATGTTTTGCAAAAGAATAGTTTCTACTAGTTATCATACACATACCAAGTTTGAAGTTGGTACCTCAAGTGGTTCCAAAGTTATACTAAGTTATGTAAAATATACATACACACCAACAGACGGAAAACTAAGTGAGATAGAACATATGCTTATATATTTTTTGTTTGTTTTGACCTAAGGAACAGAACCACTGAGTTTCGGGAGAGAGTTTTAAAACACCCTGTACATAACCATAAAGCTATTGTTGATGTAAACATTTTTGGTGGAATCAGAGTTTGAGTATTACTTATTATTCGTTAATAATAGTGTTATATATTTCTTACTAAAGGTAAAAACTTGATTTAAATCGCCAAATTGTAGGACTGTACTGTAGGAGTAAGTATTTGGAGTAAATTGTATATCAATCACAAAAACCACAAATAAAAACAAATGGATTCGTCCGTTGGGCACCCTACCGTCATCTACTTGGACACATCACGGACGTTCAAATGTTTTTAACTTTCTTAAGCACTTATTTACTTGTATTTCTATTGAAATGTCAGAGATACTCCTTACTAAGCTACCATCATGGATTGTCTTCTCTTTAAACTATGCTACCATATAATTTTTCGGGTGAGGTGGAATGACGTTCGCTAACACTAGAAAAATGTCTAGAACCAGCTCTGTATGAGTGCAAGGGGTTGTAACATCCACTGGTACTTGGTATTATGTCATCCTTGAATTGCTGCTTACTTTTTTTTGCAAAATAACACATTTAGGTCTTACGTCTACAGTCTAGTGGATAATCAATGGAGTTACATTGTTCATTAAATATGTCCTCTAATAGTCAAGTGTTTTACCCTCAAAACATTGGTCCTGACGATGGTTATTCTAAGCTAAGATCCAAGACGATTGTTTTGCTGTTTATTTGAAGCAGCTGTGCTGCTATAGTCTGTCTAAAATAATTGTGCGGTTGAAATTCAACATATGATTTCCCTATTATGGTAAATCTCCCTCTCATTTACCCTTTTCTACACAAAAATACCCGTAACAATCATCTGTTTTATATTGCAGACAGGTTTTTAGGAAGCATTTGTGTATTATGATTGAACTACACACATAATAAAACAAGAAGATTTATTTTAACATAAATAATCTACGTATTAATTTTAATATCACTAGAAGTTTTGTTGTAATATAGATAATCTTGGACTAACATTTATGCTTTATGCTTTTGATGGATTGTTTAAAATACAATTTCAGTTCAGGTAATGTAACTATACATTATTAAATTAGTTAATATCGTGGTGAACTGGTTTCACAATTCTAAAGCGATTCTTCACTTCTTATTTAGTTATTATTTTAATACCGTCGGCAATGGGAACTTTGTCAAGGTCTCTAGCGGAGCCCTAAGGTCAGATCAGGATGAAAACCATTGGGTTATCCTGTTTATGCCTGAATAATCCGTGTACAACATCAGAGTACTTTGCCTTTAATATGTACCTATTAGGTCATGATGAACAACGGAGTCATTTCATTAAACTTGTTTTATTATACCATACATTATTTGCTATAATTTTCTTTTACTGAGGATAAACTAACATAACAAATTGATCATACTATTTGAATGAACGAGTTATGTTGGGAGCGTTTCATAAACTCCAAATTTCACAAACTCCAACGCTTAAAATATTAAATGAACAGCGCGTTTCATAATGTCCAAATTTCATAAGCTCCAAAACTATAATATTCAAATAATCACTGTTGCACAATGTCCAAGTTTCACAAACTCCAACGTTTAAATATTAAATAAACAGAGCGGTTCATAACCTCCAAATTTCATAAGCTCCAAATCTATAACATTCAAATAATCACTGTTTCACAATGTCCAAGTTTCACAAACTCCAACGTTTAGATACCAAATAAACAGAGCGGTTCATAATGTCCAAATTTCATAACCTCCAACGGTACAGTCTGGGCCAGAAGTCTCTTGTGGTTGCCACAGTCAGATAGCAGGCACAACAATAGTCCATCTGCAGCGACTTCCGGCAGAGTCTGTATTGTTGGAGCTTATGAAACTTGGAGGTTATGAACCGCTCTGTTTATTTGGTAATTAAACGTTGGAGTTTTTGAAATTTGGACATTGTGAAACGGTGCTTATTTGAAAGTTATAGTTTTGGAGTTTATGAAATTTGGAGGTTAAGAAACTCACTGTTTATTTAATATATTAACGTTGGAGTTTGTGAAATTTGGACATTGTGAAACGGTGCTTATTTGAAAGTTATAGTTTTGGAGTTTATGAAGTTTGGACATTATGAAACGCACTGTTTATTTAATATTTTAGACGTTGGAGTTTGTGAAATTTGGACATTATGAACCTCACCCAATACGTTTAAAGATACACACAAATTAAACCATTTGTATGAAACAGTTATATTTAAGTTTTTGCATTTTTTCGTTGTTTACTAATTGTATAAATATTTCAAATCCCTAATAATAAAAGCCCAATATGCCTGAGTACACACCAAATAGAAAACAAAACTCGTAAAAATATATAAATATAATTTAATTTATACAACATATATTAAACCACAAAATGAACACAATGATGTAAATTTAACAAAAGTTAGATGTAATGTGAACGTTAACAAAGTACTGGAAACGTTCCATTACATCATTCACTCTCATAACTGGAAAGCAGATGTTCACCATCATCTTCGCTTAAGCCACCAGAGTCAGTGTCATCCTGCAGATTTATAATGAATGGTTCCATAATTTCGTCACGCAGTCCTTCTTTAAAAAAATCTTCTTCCTGGATATTTTCAGCATGAATTACGCATTTCTTCCAGTCTTCTACTGTTACATGGTTCATGACATTTTCAAGAAGGTTCCTGACATCCTTTATTTTGAAAGACGTGTTATTTTGCGCTACCTCCCCTTTCACTTGAGCCCAAATTAGCTCTATGGGATTGTATTGACAATGGTAGGGGGTAGGCGAACAACCTCAAACCCACCTGCAACGCAAGTTCATCCAGTTCGTATCATTCGTTGTACTGTGGGGGAAAATCTTGCCTGTGCTGCCGCACGGTGGTAAGGAGTTCTGCTACTGTGTGGACTGGATTGTGTTCAATACCATTATCTGATAGCCACTTCACAATGTCTGCCTTTCTTGATTTTGAACTTGGAATTTTGTTAAGTCGTTTCGAATGGTAGCTGGCATTATCCATTACAAAAATCTTTTGATATATTTTCTATATTACAATCTTCGTAGTCCATATTATGTGCTGCAATGTATTTAATTCCTTCTCAAGTTAAGTTTTGGCCTTTTTTTCTATTTCTAACTAACACTAATCAATTAAACCCAGACTGAATAATATTAAACTGCACAAAATATCATCATAATAATCACAATGTTGTTTACTACTAAAATGTAAACAAAGTGACACCTGTTGTAAAATTATGAACAGTATGAATCAGCTGTAGGCTAATATGTGGTGGTGGCAGGGGCCAGGGAGAAAACAGGGGAAAACAAATTTGTCCTTCAACCGCACATTAAATTCAGACAGAGTATAGTCAGAATGCTAATATGATTTAATTTACGTAGGCAGTAGGATTCTAATAAAGTTAAAATAATAATCTTAACAAGAACACTTTATTTTTCTCAGTTAAGTTGTACAAACGTGATATAGGCTATTAGCAAAGTAAAGTATAGAAAAACACAAATCATACATCTTAAAACAAAGGGATAAATAAAGTGGGTAGTGATACAAAAAATTAACGATTTATTGAAAACCAAAAGACAAAGTAAGAGACATGGAGGAAAACTTTGAAGTATTCTGTCCTATTACTAAATTTATTACTTTGTACAATCTACAAATATGATAACTGAAAGTCTACATGTTTAAAGCAAATAACATGCATGAGGATATCTTATTCATACACATCTACTCTGGCACTGACATAGTTGACTATATCTTGTGGTTTAAGCAATTTTTCAGCGTCATCATCAGGAATCTCAAAACCTGAAAAAGTCAAACCGATAAGTGCATAAAATAATAGGCCTACTTTTAAAATATAAAATAGGTTACGTACCTTACGTCGTCAATCCTAGGTTAGTCTTTTTTAGCGACTAGTTTCGAAACTGACGTTTCATTTTCAAGCCTTGTCAAACATAAAATTACTTGAACATAATGTCGTTGTCAAAGTACACTAATATAACATTTAACACGCACAAATACAAATACATTAAGGAACAGAAAGACGCACGGCCGGCCATTACACGCACGACGAACACGACTCAACTACCAACATCGGTACCAATCGGTAGTTGAGTCGTGTTTGTCATGCGTGTAATGGCCGGCCGCGCGTCTTTCTGTTTCTTAATGTCCCTATTTGTACTTGTGGTGTTAAATGTTATATTAGTGTACTTTGACGACAACATTATGTTCAAGTAATTTTATGTTTGACAAGGCTTGAAACTAGTTGCTAAAAAATACTAACCTAGGATTGACGACGTAAGGTACACAACCTATTTTATATTGTCTTAAATCAATCCTGGAGGCAAAGCTGAATAAAGCCTACATTTAGCAAACAATAAAATCTGTATTTGGGGGGGGGGGGGGCTTTTGACTGTATGGATCATCCGATGCTGATTTAAAAAAATTGCCAGTATGGGTATTGAGGAGTTGGCTCTTAAAGCTATTGACATAATATCTTTTCGGAAGAGAGCAAAGAACTGTTATTCAGTACTAGAGGGCAACCCACTTTTACTCGGACTGGGCTACAGTAAAATTTGGTGTACATCAAGGATCCATTTTAGGACCGGCACTCATTCTCATAATACACGTTTATATTTTTACAACTGTAGGTATAAATAAATTACCTACCAGCACATATATCTTAAAGGTTTGTATTATTTGCTGATGATACAAGTTTAATAGTTTGAGGAATAAAACCTGTCTCAATTAGAAAACACTTTGAAATTAACACTAAAAGAACTGAAGAAATAGTTTGAAACAAATAGACTTTTACTAAATAAATTCAAATCTAACATTTGCAATTCCACATAAGAAATAACAATTACAACAACAAATGCAATGCAACAGTTTTAATGTTACTGATAAATATACATTTCCAGGGATTAACATAGATCAAAGTTTCAATTGGAAACCACACATTCAATATTTGGTTAGTAAATTGACCTATTCTAGGTTTGCAATAAATCAAATGTCGTCAAAAACATTAAGGTGCATTGTTCTATGTAGCTAAACTGTGTTTTACCTGAAGATCAATTCTTGAACCTTATGAAATTAAAAAATCTTACACTTCTGTTTATTATGTACGCAAGGACATGCAGAATATCAAAATGTAATAATGGTTTCAAGCATTAAGTTTTTTGGCTCAAAAAACTAACCAAATTCATCCTCCATAGCCATGATCACTTCCACATGGTCCAGGGAATCAAGTCCAAGATCATTCATGAAATGTGATTCCAGCTTCAACTGTAACAAACCAGATTCTTAATTTATGGTTCTTAATTAACTAAAACTTGTAACTAAAAAACAGTAACAACACATTTTAACCCTTTGAGTGCCAACGTCCGGGGAACCGGACGTTTTTAAAACGAGCCAAAAGTGCCGACGTCCGGCCGACCGGACGTTTTTAGAACGAGCCAAAAGTGCCAACGTCCGGCTGACCGGACGTTTCGTAATGATCGAACAGTTGTCATAACAACCGAATGGATACTCGGATTCTTTTAACCCATATATTAACATTGAGTCGAAAGTTACTAGATGCGATACATCGATTTTCGTTGGTCGAAATATCAAAAATTCGATTTTTACGAAATTTTAACCTAAAAATCGCCAGATCGCGCTCGGCATTTTTAGCGCGACCTTCGGGAAAAATCATCGGCATTTTTTGAGCGTTACTTTTATTTCTCGCCTGGCACTCTAAGGGCTAAGAGACAAGGAATTTCTTTTATTCAGATAATAGGTACTTTGGACTAGTTTCTTTTAACCCGCATGAGCTTGCTTAGCTGTATTAATGACCGTGTTTGTACTTTTTTGTCTAACAATTAATCATTATATTTATTGGTTATAGCTATTGTCAGCCTTTACTATGTACAACACACACCACATTCCAGGAACTTGTACTGGTCAATTCCACCCTTTGCTTCTCCTCGTGTTTAGAAAATACCAATATAAGACAGTGTGCGTCTCCTGGTGGTTTATAAGTTAATACTTATTTTTCTTTTAATTTGTTGATTGGCTACAGTTTTAATTAATTGGTAATGCCATTAAATTATGTGCTGCGTCACAGAGAAGCGTTCCTATTATTTACCTCTCAGTGGCTAAACGTGGAATCTAAGAAGCAAAGTAGGATAGATAGTCTATTGTCAAGTGTTGAAAGTGATGAGGATGTTGAATGTTAAGTGAGGCATGCAGGATATTTTCTAAGGCACCTTTTCAATGAACCATTTACTGATTATTTAATGATAAAGATGAATCTTAAAACTTAAAAGGAATTTATCTTTACAAGACATTGATGACTTATAATGATTTATAACTGAACTACTTTTAGAGAACTATGTTTTTTACAGTTTATTATATAATATGTTTCATAAGTATTTGTAACTAGCAGTTACCCGGTGCGCGTTGCTGCGCTTAACAACTATTATTTTCCATCCCTTTTATTGTTTATAATACTTTTATAAAGGTTTTTATGTTTACATATTTAAAATTGGAGAAAATGTTGAGTGCACAGGTGTGCTGCGAATGGGGTTTTAATATATTTTTACTTATCGGAAAGTAAAATAGTTTTCTGTGCTGAACTCTGTGGAAACATTGTGGCACTATCTCAAATCATAACTAAGGTCGGGACCACGCAAGTTTGCAGTTGAGGGAGGAGCCTATTTACCATATGGTTTTGAATGAACCAATGAGAACCGTGCGGTGTTGCCAAATCTGTTAATACCAGCTGATTTTAATATATTGCTTAGTATATTTTAATTAGTGTTGTCAACGGGCGATGTGGCAACGTCGCACTAGCCTTGTCTTGTGATTGGCTGCCACCAACTGCAAACTTACGTGGTCCCGACAATAATACAGCATTTTGTGATTATTCAAACCTACAAAACAGTTGCCTGGTAACAGCTGTCATATTTATTTGTAAACACTGTAGTTCAAAAAGTCTGACATTGGCCTACTTAAAACCCTCTGGGGCTGCGGATCCCTTTTGATGGATCCGCGCAAAACTTCACACAAACCATCCTTGAAAGATGCTTAATAGGGCCTGAAAGTTTGATTACAATCTGTCAAGCGGTTTTGGAGTATATAGGCTACATATATACAGTATATACATATATACATACATAGTTCCTCTTTTATAGATATAGATTTATAGATTGAAAAAAATTGCTTTTGAGGCATTATTGAGCTATATGAGAACCGGTTTACACAAAACGCACAATTCCAAATGTAGGCCTATGATTTTTTTACAACTGTCCATTTTATGTTTACTATCCTAAGCATATTCAGAAGGTTGTAAATTAAATAATTTAGAAAATCTTTATGATTTGAGGAATTAAAATAAAATTGTTACTGAAATATTTGGTTTTTTAATTTCACCCGGTTGATTTAACCCAAGACCCTAAAGACAACAGTTTTATCGGTACCTTGGTATACGGAGGCCACCCTTATACAGTGAGTGCTCTGTGGCGGTTATGTTGGGTTATCATAAATATAAAGTATAACTAATCTGGTATCGTTCGATTCATAAATAACAAAACGAGGAAAGTCCTAAAAACATATTAATGAACCCAACCAACATAACCGCCGCATCGCACTGAAATAAATGTGGCCTCTGCATAATACTTAAGTACCGTTTCATCTGACCAAAAGTAAAAAATAATTGGTCGACTGTAAATAATATTTTTTACATTAACTCAAAATTCAAGGGTCAAAACATTACTTGGAACTCAGTTTAAGAAATTTTGACCAAGAGATTTCAGTACATAAACTCAAAAAAAAAATTTTGTTTCTAAAAATATGAGATAACCTATTACAGTTTCAGGTTTGTAAGGAACCAAGCGTTGAATACTGAACCATTACAGTATTTCAGTTTATATTTTTAGTGACTAACTTAGCCTACCAATAACTTATTTGTCAGCCTGTATCGTCTAGGCCAAATATAACTAGGCTATATACCTTTTGAGGGTCAACCTTATCGTACAGTTTGAGCACCAAGAGTACTCTATCGCGTATAAGCTCTAGAGTGTGTGGGGGCTCATGACTGTAGGTCCGCTTGGTCACAGCGGAGGCTGAGATGTTGAGGAGACCCTGAAAAGGAAACCAGTTATAACTAAAAAGGAATAAGTACCTCTTCTCCATGAATTTTGTCATAGGCCTTGCACACTTTGAGCACTTTTTCTGCTATTATATCTTTAGTCAGCGTTTCTTTGGTACAAAATCTTGATAACTGATGGTGTCTTGATGATGGAAGCTGTGGAAGAAAAATAACAGATAGGGCACTAATGTTAAAGTGTAAAAAGCTTTAATCCTACACAACATCATAAAGTAAATATTAAACGTAGGCTAATACAATTTAAAATAGATGGAATTGTGCATGATTTTTTTGCACCTTGTAGCCTGTAATAGGCCAAAACAGCAGCCTCTAGTGGCTTACTCTGAAGACTTAGTGAAAGCCACTCTTGTTTAGATGACGATACATATGGTTGGATTCACGAATACTAGATAAGACCCGGTATGGATCATAAACATAAAAAGATGACGTTTTTGGCCCGAAAGTAAAAAAAAACCTTAAGTTAATTAATGCTATTAGTATAGGGGGATTTGTTAACTTTCGGGCCAAAAACGTCATTTGTTTATGATCCATATCAGGTCTTTTCTAGTATTCATGGTTGGATCCATGGATGGGAAAGCAAGGTAGATTCAGAATACTAGGGTGGCTTCCTACAAAACAACTTTACCTAAGTTTACATATTAAAGAAGGGAAGTTAATGGTTATGTTTTGAAAAACAGGTAAAGTCAAGTGGGGTGAGTGACTTCCAGCTAATAATAGCCTAAATTTGTTTACCAAAAAATAAGAAAACTTGGCCGTTGAAATAAATGAAATGAAATCCTTATAGGAAATTTGCTAAAATGGGATTATGTAGTAACATGGTGCTGTTTTAACACAACCTAACTGTTCGAACCAAACTCCTTTGATGTCAGAAAAGGCAAGTAAGGGTGGTCGGTCGAGCTTAAAGTGAATTTGTGACTGTATTAAGTCCATTCTTATTGTTTTTTGTTGTTCCGGATCGGCGTAGACAATAAAAAAAGGTTAAATTACTTGTGTCCGCCGGACGATCCTATTATAATCCTTCACAGGAGATGCATTTTGGCATATTATATCGCCATCATAAGTCCTAAATAATAAAAGTCCTTGAACTTACCCTTAACGGGTGCATCTTGAAGTTTGTAGACACATTTACACAAAACGTTACATTGATGAAATTATTAAAAACATCAACTGCGCGGTAGGCCTACTTTTAATAGAACTCGGGACATGTTGACGCGCATCAGTTAAGTTTCGAGTCTCGACTGGGGTCATACGTTACTTGCAGAGTTGACCTTTGACCAGCCTCTGTTCTTTGTAGCTGCAAGTGGCGTTTCATTCAACTTTAGGCATTCCGTGCAGTTATTTGTTTTTATTTGTCAATTTAACGTTAAGTGTTGGGTGTATGTTACTACAAGCTTCAAGACATAATGTAATGAGGAAGTTCAAGGACTGATGATGACAATATGATTCGCCGAAATGCATCTCCTGTGAAGGACTACAATAGAGTCGACCGCCGGACACCTGGTAAGTTAATTTAAGCTTTTTTGCTTGTATTAAGTCCTTTGAAGGTAGGTTGAAATAAGTATGGTGAAGTTTGAGTTACCCTATAATGAATCGAGTTGTTAGTTACCTTGCCTAAAGACTGAATTCGTATGATTAACTTAAAACCCTGGAAAAACACTTCAAACACTATTTCAAAAACACAAGCAACCCTCAGTTTCTCACACCTGTTGGATCACTTGTAATGGATAGCCACCCTATGATCTTGTTCGTTTTCAACATAGGGTAAAATTAACTTATGCACTAAAAGGGCTACCTTAAGTTTAAGCTGAAAATAACTTTTTATCTGGTCTAAAAGTATTTTTTATTATTGTAGGCTACCGTACCCTAATAGTAAGTACATAACAAATATTAACTTGGATTAAATTTTATTTAACGTGATGTAGCCGATAGCCTGTAGCCTAATAACATAGTTTCAGAAAAACTTTGCTAATCAAAAAGGCCTAATTAGGCCTATATTGTTATTAACAATTGATGCAATCAATGTGAAAGTTTTTTGTACGTCAAGTAAGTTTGGTTATTGATCGAATCAATACATTTAGGCCTACGTTCAATACAGTAGGCCTAACTTAATAAGTTACAATGGAGCTGGATGTCAACGTTGGCAGCTAGGGTTCTACCAAAATCAATATGAGGCTACCATTATTTCTACCAAAAGTTTGGGCATCCCATAGCAGGTTAAAGTAACCCCAAGCCTTATGCCTAACTTAACTTAAATTAGCCTATCTATCTTGATGAGCTTGATTGATTGAATGCCTAGGCCTAACCCTACTTGAAGGACTGATTTTGTTCAGTAGGCTAGTGGACTAATTTGTGTACTTTTTCAGCCCCGTGAAATTAAATTCCCTGTAGGCAACCAGGCAGACTAGGGTTTAAAAATGTCCTGGGAAGGAGCATGGTAGTCAACTACTCAAAGATAGGCCTACATGAAAACAATGAAGGTCAGCTTACCAAATTCTGTAAGACGTTGGAATTTGTTGTGAAGTTTGACAGTTTACATTTTTGTTGCAACCCTAATAACGTCGATCTCGTAATTGTAGATCGTAAAACGCAAGAACCTAAAACTAAAGAAGATCGGACACCTTGGGCGAGGGCTGCCATTTTTGCTTTTGCACCGCAGACGAAAAAGAGAAAAAGAAAAAGCCCAGCGTTCCGTTTTTACCAAATCAGCTGTCACCTTTAAAGAGTTGCTGTGTTCTCAATGCAGTATACCGAAGATCTAAGTTAACCCGTTGATTATATGTACTTCAAGATGAGAGATCGTAATTAATTTTTTTTTAAAGATCCGTTCATAAACAATTCATAGAATTCCGGAGACCTCCATGAGGGTCGCCGGAATTCTATCCCTGGAAATTTACCCCCATAAAAAAACGCCTACGTCATTTTGTGGTAAATTTGTTTCAATTTTTCTTTTTACTTTGTCATAAAATAAAGAACGATAGGATTTAACAATGGGCTTGGAAGTGTGAAACTAGAGATAACATTTGTTGGTCACTGTTTGAAAATAAAAGTACGTAATTGCAAAGTAAAATAATAGCCAAAATAAAGCTCTAACAATGAAGTAAACATGTTTATTTTAATATGGAAACTGTCCATTTAATGTTAAAATAACATTATTTAAAAATCGAATAACTATCAATTTATTAAAATGTATTAAAGATTTTGCAAGGTATCTTACTTTACTTAATAATAATGTTGACGGAAAATGATGGATATTTAAACATTGTAAGGTTTTTTTTTCCTAAGGACGCTAGGCACGAGCCTGGGATTGTTTTTCACATTACTTCAGGCTAGACCTAGGGGTTGCGGCATTATCACTTAGATAAAATCCATTGGTGACTTGACGGGGATCGAACCCAGGACCTCAGGGACTGAAGTCCCGCGCTCTAACCACTACGCCAGCTCGCTCCCCAAACATATTGTAAGGTAGGGGTATAAAAGGCTTGTTATCAGAAGCTTAATGTGCCCTAAATGCTACTGTAATTTAAACTAAATCAGTAGTTTTATTATAAATCTTGAAGCAAATTTAATCTTATAATGCCTCTAATAATAACCTGTATGTTATTCAATGAAATGCTAAATAAATACAGAGCTGTTACCCCCTGTTTAAAGTCAAGAACCACACTTGAAACATGTTAGGAGTTATGTACAAACAGACAAACATTTATTTTACCAATAACTAGCAAAAAGTAGGTTTACCTACGTGTTTATAACCATACAGGCTCCTGATTTAGTAAACATATGAACATGTTGTCAATTGAAGCAAAAATATAAAAATACCACGATAAAGTCGAATCCCTGAAAGATGGTAAGGTGAGCAAACAAGAATCTATATATTAATTTGAAACTGTTTTTCTTTGTGACAGCTATTTTGAGAGAACGGCTGGGCGTAGAAACTCGGTAGAGGTGTCTAAAGAAAGGTCCTGGTCTGTAGATGAGCCATCAAAAGAGAAACAAGGAGAATTCCCTCGGGGCTCTGCCCCAGTGGCCTTTAAATTCCCATACCATGTTATTCTTATGGAGGAAAACGAGGTTTTTGTCACAGCTAATGTGAGAGAACGGCTGGGCGTAGAAACTTGGTAGGGGTGTCTAAAGAAAGGTATTGGTCTGTAGGTGAGCCCTCAAAAGAGAAACGAGGTAAATTTCCTTGGGGCTCTGCCCCAGAGGCCTTTAAAGTTCACTCTGCAATGTTGTTTACATTTCGACCATATGGATAATTTTACACTACTTTTAATGAACCAGCTGTTAATATTAAAATTGCATTCAAAGGTCTACTGAAACTGTCAAAATTAAATGTTTACATTATTATTTATGATTTTAAATGGATTCTCCACTGCATGGCAAGTTTTTTATAGTTTCACCAAAATGAATTTATGATACGTTTCAAATGTTTTGTTCGAAAATCAATGCTTTATTGCTCTTAGAAAATTTTGGGTTGAAAATTGTGTCATAGACGAGTACGTTGAGGATGAGAGCTGTGTTCAAGTTTTGGAATAGACTAACTACGGAGTCTATGGTTTTGGTAAAGTAGGTGAACTAATGTCAATTCAGGTATTAAAAAAAATGTGTACACAGTTTTTACTTTGATGTAGGTACACATGTAGCTAGGTCGAACAACGCATCTAAACCTCACTACATACAAAACATTCGGAAACACAACATCACATCTCATCGCATTTGCATAATTTGTTACCAAGGCTGGACTAGGTTATGGATTTGGTTCCGCAAATGTTCAAGATTTGTGATAAAATTTCCTACAATTATGGTTCATTCCAATCCACGAAATACATGCACAGCGTTATGTGATCTATATGGCCAAGGCAAAACTACCCCACAAGTTAATGAATTATCAAGTAAGAACAGGATGATTAAATACATGGGTCGATGTGGCAAGAGAAGGAATTAAAATTGCTGAGATCGAAGTAAGAATGTTACTGCTTTCTGGAGATTTAGATAGTTTTATCAAACAAAAAAAAACTGATTTAATATGCTGATAGAATTCTGTATTTTTATGACCAAAGATGATGATAACTTATAAATCCGGATACAATCTGAATGATTTTCCTAAAGCAGATGGAATTAGTGGTTAGTAATAAATATTGACTCTTTCCGTAACATGATAGACTAATTATATGAACTCATTCTCCCATATAGTGAAAGTGGCTTTGGTATGAAACAAACTCATGAACAAACAATTATAAGACTCCTAAAAAACCTTTTGAGCAACCTAAAGCCGATAAAAAGGTAGGAAATATTGTGTTAAACGAATTCATCAATCACGTTTTTTAGGGAACACAATCGTCATACTTATTATTGCTTATCCTCCCTCCATTTAACTAAGATTCTAATGACTTCACTCTATCCATCGCAGTTAGCTGATTTTACATAAAACCTCAAGATTAACCGTCGATTTCGACGGGGTTCCACTAGTGTTCTTTATTTTAAAAACATGTATACAAGTTAAGGTTAAACAAAGTATTTTAAATCAATACGTCCCTAACAAGGTAGGGTTCATGCTTTATTCGTTTATTCATTTGTTATGTGTATTTTAACTGATGCAGAAATATATTTTTATAAATTAATTTTCTTCAAAGTTTACTTTAATATAAAAACTAAATAACTTAGCCTGTTTTGATTAAATAACTAAATATTCCTGAATTATGTAAACTACAGAGTATTATCCTCAAGGATTAATTTAAACCTTAAGGTTGTGTCATGAATCTAGGTCTACTGCCGGGTTTCACCTTTAAAGGTTACAAGCCAACCCGATTTTCCCAGTGAGCCCATTAACTATTTCATTCATGTAATAAATTTTTATCTGCTGAAATATATATATATAAAACGGGCGTTATTAGCTTTTAATTCATTAGTTCTTAGAAAATCCATTATCATGGATTTTCCATGCAGTTCCATGATTAACTGTGACCAATCTGTCAAACAAGTGATTGAATAGTGGCGGGAGATATCTCTGACGTACAAGCGAGCGATCAATGAGCGCGGTGGTGTCGTGGGGGCTCATTGAGCAGGGCGGGAGGAAAGGGATGTTTTACATCGATATTGCATCGTTCTCGAGCCACCATTCCAACTTTCGACCATCCGATGGATTCGACTTGACTCGGTGGGCAATCCTACAACTCTACAGAAATCAGAAATATCTTAGTTTAGTGATGCTACTGCTTGAATACGTCAAATCAACGCATAGATTGTGATTCACAAACTACTTTACTAGTCAGGCCACTATTTCAGAATCATGTTAAACCCCATACGTTTCGATCGGTTGTTAGTCAGAGTCAGAGTAGTCACGGTAGTGAAGTAGTGATGAGTGTTTGGGGAGGGTAGAAGCTACTCCACACCCCACAGTGTGTGCGTGCTACGTGTGTAAGTTGCCTTCGTAACCGGCTTTTGCAGAAACGTGGTGAGTGGTATTTGGCTATCTTATCACTTCTAAAGCTATTGACTAAAGGAGATGAGAATGTAATAGCTGTGTTATACAATACAGTTTATCTATTACCTTTTCCATCAAACGGTTTACGGATTTTCTCATAAAAGGTGTTTGAAGAACGAGTTTTTTCTACATGTGGCAATATTTACTTACACTAGTGTCCCTGTTGCTCGAATTCGAGCAATTGCTAATTATAACAGGCGTTATTTTAAAAGGAATAACTACCATAATTTCTGATAACTTTAAAAGATTCGACTCAAGGATTATGCAAATACTCAATATGTACATAACAGATCGATATAATCATCATTTCTTGTAAATATCTTAAAATTTTTCAGAAGCTGATCTTGTTTATTTAGTGTTTTCTACAAATAGCGTTACTCATAGCCGCATTAGGTTGTCCATAATAAGGATTATAAATTCCATTAAAAAAACATTATTTCTATTTCTTCTCCTAGGTGGTGTTCTATGACTTGCCTATGTTTCCATGATTTGCAAATGGATTACTCTTTCAATGATTACTAAGAAATGCAGCACAGTGTTAACACAGTTTTCTTTTTAGTATATCAATTTATCCAGCCTCTCTGGTTTTTTCCATTGTAATATTTACGCCAACCCAAATTTAAAGGGTAAATATTTAACTTCAACCAAGTGAGTAAATGTCTGTAGCAAACTGTTCAATTAACAAACTTATTGACTGTTTACTGTTAACATATGTTCTTCTTCTCACTTTTAATTTCTGACAGCAGCTGGAGTTTCATAAAAATTTTTGTTTCCCATGTTAATCTTATGGAGAAATATGAAACTTTAAAGGGCCCCAGGGCCTACCTGACACCCGTTGGCAAAACTCCGGTTCCCCGATTGACATTAAAGCATATTCTTATCTCAAAAACCCTTTCGGGCTCCGCCCCAGTGGCTCTGTAGTTCCCCATGTTAATCTTATGATTTTTCATATTTAAAAGTAATTAATGAATTAACAGCTGTTTCAATTAAACAAGTTGGTTCTGTTCTATGATGTTCAATAGCATAAAAGTTACAAGGATTACCAATAGGGTGCAGCACTATTATTTTTTTTTATTTATGACAACAGCTAATTTCCAACCAAAAGGTGAGTGAGCGTAGCGAACGAACTTCAACCTGGAGGCGAGTTAGCGTAGCGAACGAGCTAACCTGAAGGCAAGTGAGCGCAGCGAACGAGCTCCAACCTAAAGGTGAGTGAGCGCAGCGAACGAACTTCAACCAGGACGAGAATGAGCCATGCGAATACTTATGAAGTTAAACGGGGCGAAGCCCACGGGTACAGCTAGTATAACAATAATTTTAACAAATCTCAATTGTTTCAATGTCATGCCTACTTTAAAAATACATTATAATCATAACTTAAATAACAAAATTAAAAAAAAACTTCACAGCACGTAGATTCCTAATGCGAATATATTGACCAGTTTGATGTTTTATTAATCCAATAATAAAACACTTTTCAAAATAAATATAACAGATTAAATTGTACTAACAATTATTTGCACATATTTTGGTACTTTAGTATTAAACGGAGGCCACATTTTGTCAGCGCGCTGCGGCGGTTATGTTAGGTTGGGTTATCGTAAATATTATGTGTGTAGGACTTTCCTCGCTTCGTTATGAATCGAACGATACTTTCTATTATGATAACCCAACCTAACATAACCGCCGCAGCGCGCTGACAAAATGTGGCCTCCGTTTAATACTGAAGTACCCATATTTTTTTAAAATAACAGGGAACCTTTCACACATTTTATAGACAAGTTTTAATATGGGTATAGTATGTGTGTTTAGGGGGTTTTATTAAAAGAATAACATACAGCTATTATAATAAGAATACTTATAGATGCGTTATCATGTCAATGAAAATATCGAATTTAATTATTATTAGGTATTATGTTTATGTATTATCTGCTGATGGGACTAAATTTCAATTAAGATTATTACAATCATCTCTATCCATACTTGACTTGGCTTAAAATACCTACATTCGTAAAAGTATTGAAAAAGTATTGATTACGATTCATCCACGGATTAATTATCAAACAGTGTCTAAGTAGCGTAGTCGAAATCGTTAAAATAAAGTAAAAAAAACATGACCTCCTAGTCCGCCTGCAAAAGTAATGACACTTCTTCCATTCTGTTCAGTTTGCTCTAAGCGGAATGCCCATTGAGGGAACTAAATTTGTAATAATTTAATTGCAAGAACACTGATAACAGAAGAATACTAAGGATAAAATAACATTTAAGATAATTATTTCAACTGTTTATTATGATTAACTTTACTGGTGCGCTATGTGAGTTAGTAATTAAAAATATAAGCTCAACATATAATTTATATCATGAGAAAGCCTACAAATAATTTTCATCAAACAATTCCGGTATATTGATAGTAACAAATTGAAACATATCAGCTGACAAGTACGATATAGGATACAGTTAATAAATATTGTTCAGTATCAACAAACAATCAAAAAAAACATTAGCCTATATTAAAATGAAACTGTTCTAAACTAACCTAACCAACCAAACTGGCTGTAACATTTCAAAAATCCGTTTGATAGCCTATTCCCCATATGCCTTTTCTCTTCTGTTATCAAATGGAATTTTGAAACGGTAACTTAGCCTATACAGCAAGTTTGGTTAGTTATGTTAGGTTAGTTTAAAATACGATGTCCTAATCCAATGTATAGGCTATTATTTTTGCCTAGACAAGGTTAGTTCTTAATTTGTAATTTAAATGCGTTTGAATATATTAAAACAGATGGAATACCAATCGTGAAGTAAAACAAAAATATCGATATATCGAAAATAAATCATCGATAATAATGAATGTTCCCTTTAACAGGAAAGTACCAAATTAGCTTTGGATATCCATTTAAATGATCCAAAGTGAAATTAAGGTCCTTTATATGACGAAGAGTGTCATTCGGAATAAGTCATGCTTTTTCCCATTGCCCACAAAATGGAATAACATTCATAGGCCTTCTCATTATGTCTACAAAATGGCTGAAAAGTCGCTACATATTTTCAATTAATAATTACGAGCTGTTGGCCCGTCATACGTACGGGAATCGAGTAGTCAGTAAAACCGAATACTGTATGATTCAGTACAGATAGTTTACATATGCACCTACATTGTCAACACATTTTCTTAATCTAACATATACATTTTGAACACATTTTCAGATAAAAACTTGTGGAACATTACCGAGAACATTACAAATGTAAACTTCCAATTCATTGAGAGTCTTTGCATTACTTCTGTAAACCTCTTCTTTTGCCCATCCACACAAACAAATTATAGAGCGTAAAGTCTGGCTACGCGCAGGCCATTGATGTCGACCTGCTACACGTCATCGTGAGGTGAATTTTAAATTTACGCCCTTTCCCCAATAATTGCCAGTCATAATAGCAGACATTTTAAATAAGCTTGGATCGATTTTTAATATGAAGTACCAACAATGGTATTAAATTAGCATCAATCAGCTGACAATATGAGCGAAGAAACCCGTATGGGGGTTTGGTGATAAACATTTAAATTTGGCTACATACTTTTTAGCGAACTAAATTTCGTTGTCTATTTACTTTTATGGTTTTCAATAAAGTTTATTTTCAAATTCAAATTTTAATTAGAATAAAAAATGTCAGCATCTACTAAATAATATGATTACAGAACACTTCACAGTTAAGTGAAATGTGTGATTTTCACAACTAAAAATTTCCATTCCTACCAAACCTTATAAAAATTTTACTTACTCTTAATACACTTGAGATAGGGGAGCGAGCTGGCCTAGTGGTTAGAGTGCGGGATTTCGGTCCGTAAGGTCCCGGGTTCAAATCCCGCCAAATCATTAATGTATTTGATCAAAGTGATAACATCGCAACCCTTAGGTCTAGCCTGAAGTAATGTGAAAAACAATCCCGGGCTCGTGCCTAGCGTCTTAGGATAAAACAAATAACCTTGAAATAACCGGATAAAACATTTTTTTCTGATTTTACCATTCTCAAATCTGTGCCATTTACACCACGATGGAATCGAAACATTCCAACATAGTAATAACAATAACACCAGAGGTTAAACAGCAATTTCGCTGGTAAACTTTACTGCCTCAAATATTTTTTCAAAGACGAGTTGACACAGAAACTGCAAATACCCCCACCACTAAATTATACTCCTAAAATTGTCAGATTTATTTCCTATTTAAATATCATTAATTTTAATGAGTACTTAGGTTTGGTGCTAAAAGCAAGCTACAACGGTTCATTTATTCTCCATGGTAATTTTAAATTTACACTTTTTGAGGATTTTTTCGTAACGTTAGGCATACGACAATGCTTCAATATACTAAATTATTTCTTTTTCTTAGCTCTACAAAATGGTTTGTAAATAAATTGCAAAGTCTTATGTTTTCAGGGTGAAAAATGGGAAAACCCCATTTTACCCTCATAAAACCCCCGATAAACCCCTGTTCCCATAGCCTGATCTGCTGGTTCGCGATGCGAACTCGTTCGAACAAATGTAGGTTTACACTTTTATACCAAATTTAATCAAAATCGGATCATTTTTGCTCGAGTTATCGTGCTTACGGACACATATATAATATATATATATGAATTTGAACGGATGGTGTTTTTTAGCCTCTGGCAACCTCAAAACGAAAAAGTAAATCTGTCCCGGGTTCAGGTCTTACCATGAGACCTACGGTAATAGCTTATTCCTTATATGGGAAATTCGTTAAAACGCAAGAAAACACTCGTTCGTGTTTGGCCTTTTAAATATTTAATCAAGTTTATTATCCAAGTATCAAGTCTCTGCTAATACAGAATCTCAACCTTATGAATGTCCACACTACAATGGTGAAGTTTGACAACTTGGATGTTTACCAGCACTTGATAAAGAGCGTCGGCTGGTGTTCCCTGGTAGATCGTGCTGTCTCGTGGTTTCTCTCCTAATTTCGTTGTCAACTCCAGCGGCAGCTGCCCCTCTGCGTCTAATAAACTGAGCATTATCCCGATCCTTCATTCTCTGCTGATCGACAATTTACTTTCACGGTGGCGAAAGTAAACGCCGCTACGTGGGAAATTGTCAGAGCTCTATCAAAGTGTGCTCCAAGAATGAGACATCTCTTCCTTGGAAATGAAAATACTTGAAGAGTTCTTACATAGGTTTATGTGGGGAACAATTTTAGTCAGGCTGCTAACCGCTTATTAAAACTGAGAAACTATTTTATGGCTGTTTAACTTTAATAAATGTGGGAAAATAACAGTTAATATCTTAGTAAAAGGTTCTTTAGAAAAATAGGTCCACTATTTTTAACATTATCTCGATGAAAATTTAGATGATAAATTGTGTGACATTAGAATGTACATAATGATGTAAAATAGTAAAAATAGTATATTTATCATTAAAAATAATTTAAAAAAAGGGTACTATGGTGTATTATTTATTAACTAGCAACCATGCCCGTGCCGTTGTGGTTAAATACAACGGTATCTATTAAAATGATGGTTGTGAAATCCATACACACAATCAAAGAAAATCAATGAAATAACAATATAACAATAAGCTGTTAAATCATTAACACATGTTTAGATTATGCATACTGGTAAATCAATTATTGCCATAGCCTATATAAAAAATATTGGTTTTTCTTTTCCGAGTCGGTTTAAAGGTCTTCTACCCGACCGATTTTCAAAATTTTGGCAATAAACTAAAGGTATGGACGCACCACAGATTTGCCATCAAGCATCGGCATTCATTTTGACGTATATTTCGAGTTATGCACAAAATGCGTCCCTGTACATTTCTTATGGGAGTTAAATTAGTTTTTTTTCGAGTTCGTTCTTTCGGCTCTTCTACCAGCCTGATTTTCATAAATTTTTGTCTCAAAATAAAGCTATGCAAGCACATATTTGTCATCAAGCATTATTATTAATTGATCTAATGTATTACTCAACAAAAAATATAAATTAGATTTCTTTGATTTTTTACTTCAATCAAAGATGCATTCAAGCAGTTCTAACTTTTAGTACATTACCCTATATTTTTGGGTCTAAAAACCTTTGGATTTAGTTGTACAAAGTTTAACAACAAAATCTTTAGTTAAGTATTTTCTCACCACTATAAATTGGGAGGTTGCTTAACGTTTTTGCAAATAACATTGAAACGGTGAGGAAATCGACCAAGGTGGAAGGTGATATTCTGAAAGAGAATCAAATTTACTACAAATAACTACTATGCATTTCTTGAAAATGCTTAATAAAGGCAGCCAAAAGCTGGCTACAAATAGAAACATAATAAACGGTATCAGCATTCTGACACATACTTTCTCCCATAAGATTGTCAACAACCTTTCTCATGAGTAAGCGATGAGAGTAAATATACGGAAATCGGATTTGTACAATTTTCTTCAGAATTTAAAGGACTATAACATACTAAATTTTTATCAAAATCGTTCTAGCCAATTTTGGGAACATCCGATTTTCCGTTATTCTATGGGGATTTTTATGGGAAAATAACATAATTTACCATAACTTTTGAACCGTAATTTTTACAGAAATGGGATTTGTATCATTTTGTTTAGAATATAAAGGACTATAACATACTAAATTTTTATCAAAATCGTTCTGGCCATTTTTGAGAAAATCATATTTTTCCAGTTTTTTATGGGGTTTTATGGGAAAATCCCCATTAAAAATAAAATTTTCTAAAAAATGACAAAAACTATCAAAATTGTAAGGATCATAACATACTCTGTTAAATCAAAACCGGATTTTTGTCTAAAATCCTATTTTTTGTTATTTTATGGGGGTTTTATGGGAAAATAACATAATTTACCATAACTTTTGAACCGTAATTTTTACAGAAATGGGATTTGTACCATTTTGTTCAGAATTTAAAGGGCTACAACATACTAAATTTTTATCAAAATCGTTCGGGCCATTTTTGAGAAAATCCGATTTTTCCAGTTTTTTATGGGTTTTTATGGGAAAATCCCCATAAAAAATCAAAATTTCAAAAAAATGAAAAAAATGCCTGGAGATACCACGGATTAAAACCTACATACCAAATTTCATTGAAATCGGACCACAGGTGTAGTCCCTAGCTCTGTACACATCCAGACACAAAGACACACACTCAGACACACACACACACACACACACACACACACAGACATCACTTCAAAAACCACTTTTCTGGGTCCAGGGGGACCCAAAACGAATATATCCACTCAAAACTCAAACTCGAAAATTTTGACGAAAACAATACTTTCTCCATATACTATGGTATAGGGGGAGAAAGTAAAAATAGAAACCTGAAAACCCCGTTTTTAATGTATTTTTGTTATTTTTACTTTTGTACCACAAATATTTAACAAAATCACACTTTCATAATTATTTGCAAATCTACATTAGTTGGGCTTTCCAATGTACCCATTAATTAACAAAATCGGTCTAGTAGAAGTCTAGATTTAGTTGTACAAAGTTTAACAAAAATATCCCTAACTCAGTATTTTCTCATTACTATAAATTCGGAGGTTGCTTAGCTATTTTGCAAATAACTTTTAAATGGTGAGGAAATCGACTAAAGTGGAAGGTGATATTCTGAAAGAGGATAAAATTTCCTACAAATTGATACCATACACTTCTTGGAAACACCCAAAAAAGGCAGCCGAAAGTCTCACCCAAATAAAAAGTGTGAAAAACGCCGTTTTCAATGTATTCCTTATGGAAAACATGTTTTTTTTTTTTAATTTTCACCATAAATCATAACAAAAACAAACTTTCATAATTATTTGCAAATCTACATGAATTAAGCTTTTTAACGACCCATTAATTAATAAAATCGGTCCAGTAGAACTCTAGATTTAGTTGTACAAAGATTTTTAAAACTGAATTATATATAGAATAGATAATGATTTAAATATAAATAAATAATAACAACAAATATACAAATATTGTTTGTTTTTTATACAGTTTTACGAGTTAATACCACCTTTGCATAGGGTGAATTAAAAAAAGGTGAACATTGTGTTGGAAAAACTTATGAAAACATGACTTGTACTGATTCTTCCTCCAGACAAATTTAGTATACTTATTTATTAAAACTCTTTTTATAAACACTTTATTAAAACTACTATAAAACTGTTACTATAAAAAAAAAATAGTGATGACATTATTAATATTGTTGACGTTTGTATAGGTTTTATTTAATCTTTTTAAGATCATTCAAAGTCCGGTATATACGTAGAAATGCTCAAAGTTGCTACTGCAGCAAATGTCCAGACACTAATCGCTTTATTACCTCCAAACATGTCTCTACGATAATACAGAATTAACTTTTTCTCATGAACATGACGAACATTATAAAACTATGGATAAGCTAAATCAAAACTCGTGACCAGAAATCAATTTCCTTTGTAACTTCGTCACAGTGGTTTTACGCCTCAAAAAGAAACACAAGTGTTCTTCCATCCTTCCGGATACAACAATAACTGCTGTGTTGTGTTGTGACGTTATACAGGTGGCTGAGACTGGTTGCGATGACGTCAGTCCGCTAGGAGCGCTAGTGACTGATAACACTATCCAGTAGGCTGTGGCGGCAGTACCAATATCACAACACAGTGCACAGCGGTTGAGCCGCTGGACCTGTGGAGGAAGACGGCCTAGCTCTCACCATGTCTATGAAGGTATGTTATCAGTTTGTACATATAATTTAAATTACATAACTGTAAACATCATGCAATAGTAAATATTTATACTACTTAGGCCAGGCCCAGGATATGGTGAATGACAGGGTTACGGAAATTTTAAAGGTGGGAATGAGCTATTTTAATCGAATAAAATGTCCACGTGTGATCGAAATTACTGTATGGTTTATTCAGTCCTACACAGTTTTAGACTATAAATTTCTAAGCCTGTAGGGACCTCAAAACGAAAAAGTAAATCGGCCCCGGGTCCAGGTCTTACCATGAGTACTACGGTAATAGCTTATTCCCTATATGGGAAATTCGCTATACAAATAAAATAATTGAATTTTGTCCTACAAAGATCAAATAAAATTACAATCTATTAAATTCAGTAATACAGTCAAATTTGTCATCTATTTAGGCCATTAACTAAATTATAATTTACGCTTATATTAAGGCACAACCAAATTAAGCTCAGAGTCAAATCAAACCAAATAATTTATTTTGCCATTCAATACAAGCAATGTACAATAGGCTAAGTCATAAAAGGCATTAGCATGAAATAAAACATGCTAAAGTTGAACTAAATTAGTAGTAAAAAAGAGTGTGAGGACTTGCCGAAGATTATTGGTATGAACGAATTCCATTAGGGCTCTGCCCTACAGGTCGATTTCCAAGTGCTACGCATTTCGTGCTTTCGGTATTTACATTATCTAATTATTGAAAGGAACAGCAGATGGTCGATACAATTAATTATTAACAGTTAAGTTGTTTGTTTATTTACTGCAAAGGGTTTTTTGTGGTGCTTTATTTACAATTTGGAAATATGCGAGTTATTTTGTTTAGTAAGATGGGCATTTATAAAATCATTATTATTATTACTCTTGTAAATTATTATTATTTCATATTTCATTACTCAGTTGCGAATCATTAGTGTTAGCATGTATTCATAAAGCATGACCAAATAGCAAGATGTAAAACTTGCAGCATGTTAATATTATTAATAAATCCATAAATTGTTATGCATGTAATTGAATGTACAAATGGCGATTTTGTCGTAAATAAATAAATAAATTTGTAGTTAAAGAGAAGTACAGTAAAGATTTGTAGAATTTGTCTCATAGTTTTCTCTGTTTTTAGTAAGCTTCATTGTCTTTTGTAATAAACTACAGGTAAAGAGGCCTGACTAAAATTGAAGAATCAGGATTAATTTTTTTCCATACATATCAACAATATGAAGGAGTTGATTTTAATGCTACGGTATGTTATCTAATGGATATATTGATTTCAAATAAGTACATTAAGTAGATATAAACCTTTTATGATATACAGTTTAAGTATTTTTAAACTCGCATCAGTACCACTTACTTATATGTAGGCTACTGGATTTGGTTGACTAGAGAATTAAACCCCTTTTATTTCTGAACTTAAAGGAAATAATTTAACTAAACTAAGTGGAAAATAGTTTGTTTGTTTCTAAAGTAAAAAATAGTTGTGTAACTATTTCATACATCAGATCTAGAGAACAGCATATTGTTCTCTTTTGCCTTCTCCCCGTTGCGAAGTTCGGGAATATCAGATAGTTTCTTGTTCATATGTATTAAATAGATTTTTTTTTAAATCCTAACACAAAAACATATGCTGTAAGGTTATTTGTCCTACCGAGTAAAATTACACAGAGCTTCTGAAGAAATATCTTTGTATTAAATAGGCAAGTATGTTTCTTTAAAATCTTTTTTCTCAGCTTGTGTGGATCGCAGGGTAAATAGGGTAAGCATACTGTTAAAAAATATTTTCCTGTAGATGTCCAGAATTCCTTTATATATTAAAATACAGAAAGCTCAAAAATAACTACAACAAATTAATTTAATATTTAAAAAAGGTAACTTGGTTGTTATAGTTGTCATGCTGGTGACGAAATAATAACATGATAAAAAAGAAAATCAAAATAAATGGAAGAAGAAATTACAATTACATATTTTATTTACAGCATAGGGTTAAAATGGAGAAGCCTGTCCATTACACATTTTTGGTCGAGTTTTCGACCATTGAACGACCACTATCATTGATAAATTTATACGGATGACCAAAGAATTGTACCAAACGACTGACCCTACTACAGTATGTTGTAGCCTACATTAATTATTACCTAATACTTTTAATGTTATCAGTTAAATTATATTTTTCTTTAAATTGAACTCTTTTGTCTTTTTGAATCATTACTGTATACACCTGTGAATTTAAAAATAATATAATGTAATTACCGAGCACAGGATACAACATATTATAATTCTTCTCTCGACAGTATGGCTACTGTAGTTGTAGTTACGTCCTCGTTGGCGCTTGACATTGAAGAGTCGTCGTAAACGCACCTTTACGTCACACAACTCTCAGATTTGTAACTCACGTTATCATGTCAAGTACACAATACTGTAGAGCTTACCGCACGTAAAATAATTAAGATAAGCCGATAACAAGCCGTGTTATAATGGCGACTTTTACACTTATGTTTAACCTTTTTTAATTTACTACATGGGTTAATGTATGTGTTATGACAAATTTCGTGGAAAAAGGTCGTGTTAAAGTAATATAAAGCTCTTATTTTGTATGTTTTATTTATCATCGATATAAAAAGTATTGAATCAAATTAGGCAAAACACAGAAAAGGTTAAGTTTATTGCTCCTCACTTTTTACTTGTTTTCTCCAAGACTAGGAAAAAACTCCCTGTGTTAAAGCCAGAAATTTTAATATAAAATACAGTAAGCATATTTGGTTTTCAAAATATGGTATACGTGCCAATATTTCTCGATTTTTCAATGTGGTGTTTTCAACTTAATAATTTAGTGAAGAGCCAAACAGTTTGAACAAAAGTCAAGAGAGTTTTCTTAACCTAACCCACATCAAGTGAACATTGTATCCTAGTGTTAGTGGTTTGTAAAATATTAACATAAAGGAAACCTACCGAGTGAAGTGAAAGCAAGACGTCCGTGCCAGACCTACACATTGCCGAGTTTAGGCTAGGCTGGGCATTTGTAGTCTAGTTCCGTTTCCACTTGCAACTGTGACAGAAAGAAACTACCGGTACATCGCGTTCCAGGTCATAAGTGGAATGTGCCATTTGTTCCCTTTTATTTTCAATTCTTTTGATATCCAACTTTTTATAAAACAACTCCATATAGTTTCACTTACATTTGAAAGTATAATAAGATTAAGTCAAACAAACTCTCAAACCAATGCTGCATTAACATACAGTAGTAGGCTTATATAATATATTGGTGTTACATTAAAAATGAATATAATCAAAAACTACAGTGATTATCAAATCTGTGTAGATCTAGTTGTATGGTTGTAAGTGTATTCACCTCGCAGACGGTCCAAGAGTCGGGTCACAGACAATAATATAACTGTGGTTGGGTATTCTAAACAACAAAATGTCTGCTAATAATTGGCTTTTACGATAAATTTTATCATTTAAGATTTATAAAAAAAATAAATAAACGTATTTCCTGTTTTCGTAGCGTAGACTATAATAACAGTAATACTTAGTTATCGTTAAAGCATACGTCACTTGTTAGTACTTTTTTAAGGCGTTAGCTGAAATTCAACAACATAATCTCATGCAGAGTTTAAAAAAGTATGTAAACAAAATACAATCTTTGGATCAGTGAATGTTGTTATTACATGTCAATTAACAATCCACAAGAAGTTGGAAAACTAGATTATAAATTTAGAAGAAGCAAATTTCTTATCACGAACTCAAAAACTTTGTTTTTAAGAATAACGAGGTGTTAGCCCGTCCTACGTACGGGAGTAGTGAGTTAAAACTGTGTATAATTCAGAACAGCTAGCTTACACGTATAAAGACAAATTTTATTGCAGCCTACAGTAGAAAGAGTAATTATCAATTGAGAAGTGTATAGGCCTAGTCAACAATATCACCTTCCAATTCCATCGCATACCTGCCTCTTCCATAATCAATATCACCACAATACAATTACTCATACTATAAACAACTTCCAGTAGGTCTGAATAGAAACTCCCTAAAATAAAACGTAAACATTCAATAAAATTCACAGTACACACAATTATAACGTTGGTGTCCTGACATCATTAAACGAATCATCCTCACATATCAATTTCACTGCATCAATTGCTAAATAAATAAGTGTAAACAAAGAAAAGTAAAAACAACAACATATAGTGTGTTTTTGTACACAGCTGAGTCAAAAATAAAATAATATTCATTTGAACAAAAGAACTGGTCACATGTTGAAGAAATTTAAAACGTAAACACGCTAGTAAAGCTAGTGACGTAATCAATTGTCTATGTTTATTATCCATTCCGTTATCAGTTCTATCATTAATAATTAAACCACCCTCATTGAATCAATGCACACCGTAATTCCCCATATTCATTTATTTAAACTAAAAAAATATTCAAAGCCTCCAAACTTGACCACAACTAAACACACGCCAAACAACTTTTTAGATTTCATAAAAGGATGGTTAGTCTAATTGCAGTATCCTAGGTCAATCTATATATCTTTGTTCATATATTATTTTGTTCATCTATATATCTTTGGATAAAACCCGTCTGAGGTTGTGGTGGTAATTTAAAAACATATTCCTGAAGATTCTTGATCTCCTTCTTTATGACATAAATATTTCCGGGCCTAATCCAAACAAAGTATACGCATTGAAAAATATTGATTGATTGATTGTAAACAAACCAAGATGAATTAACACTTGTAAAAAATGGATTTTCCTACCTTTTCCTAAAAAAGTTGAGCAGTAAATTAATAGGGATATCCTCTTTTTAAGACTCATGTACAGAGCCTCGACTTGTATACATCGATGGTGTTACTTATCTCGGTGGTCTACTAATCTGAATTATTTCCTATAATCAATGACAAAATCAGAGTAAATAAAATAACCTCATAGTTTTATAGAGCATTTTTATATTTAACCAGCTGTTAAAAGAAAATTACATTGCACTAAA